ACACATACATATATACACACAGGGGGGGGGGGGAGAAACATCAAATCAAACCTTTATCACCAAGGAAAACCAGAAAGCGAGCGGTAAATATGCTGTTATTTATCATATATTTACAAGACATAAGCTATTTTTTTAAACATGTGTAAGCGAACAGCGAAGCCAGTTGTTAGTTATTGGACCACACGGGGACTCGGTGTGGGCGACGACCTAAACATGCAGGTTCAGTGCTCCCTCTAGGCCTTCAGGGTGGAAAGGGGACCACGACACTCGGCGGGTAGAAAGACAGAGCGGCTCGCGTCAGTGTCCGCACCAGGAAGCTCTCACTCTCAGATGGATATTTGCCAGCTTTGGAGGATGACTTCAAGCACCCCCCCCCCCCTGCCACGGTGCATATAGCTCCGCCCCCTCGCACGTCAAAGAAGAAATAAACATCTGGTTTTCCGCATGACGTGGTCTGAACTCTGCTTCTCGTGCTCGATCTGTCCTTCTGCCAGCGGTGGCTGTATTAGTAGCAGTGGTGTGTGCCGTTACAGCATCTACAAGCTTGTTAACTGTATTACGCTGAAACACCTGTCCTTAGTACCGCGTGTGTGGCTGGCTTTAAGCAGGCTGGACTGAGGTCAGCATTTCATCAAAGCATTAGCAGTATTTTAGCATTATTGCTGTAGCTAGGCTTAGTCGTGATCGCGGCGGCTATCGGCTTTAGCAACTAGCGGCGCTACACTAGTATTAGCCAGCGGGGTGTGAAGCAGTGTTAGAGGCTACTGCGAGCTATTCCTGCCCGTCGGACATTACTCGGTAGGTTAGCCTTCTCGAAGCGGATGCGTGTGGCGGTTCGGGGAGCGCGTGGTCCGTGAGCTCTGGTGCTCTTGAGGGGGAACAGGCGTAGAGGGAGCACTGATTGATTCACTGGTGTCACATCAGTATGTCCAGGTCGTCGCCGCGGTCGTCCTCCTCCGTCACCCGCAGCGCCAGCACCTCCTCGTTCAGGAACAGTCCGCTCAGGTGCTCCTTGCGGGCCTGCCGCTGCTCTTTCAGCTGCCGCTTGCGCAGAGCCTTCTGCTGGAGCTTGCGCTGCTTGGAACGTTTCTGAGAGACGGTGTGGAGAGAGAGAGAGAGAGAGAGAGAGAGAGAGAGAGAGAGAGAGAGAGAGAGGATACCGAGATGAGGATCAAGGTGTTGAAAATGATGTGACAACAAATTAACCAGAGTAGGATCGGAAATAGTGAGGTCCAGGACCCCTTCACACACACACTTCTTACTTTAGAGTCTCGTATACGTTCTGCGGCGCTGGACAGGTTGCCATCGCTGTGAGCTCTGCTAATGTTAGCAACACTGCCTCCACTACAGGCCGATGCCGTACCACCTGGAACACAACGTGACACAAACTGTTTAACAACCAGGAAGAGACTTTGAACATAGTTGAAACTGAGCTTAAAAATCGAGCTCAGTGTTACAATTTCTCATTATTCCTTTCCGCCCCTCCAGTGGCGGCGCCGTTGCTGCTGCTGCATCTCACCTGCCACGGAGTTGGAGGCCGTGGAGCCGGCGGAGGAGCTGGCGGAGCTGACCATGCTGCCGTTGCTGCTGCTGGCCGCGCTGACGCCGCCGGTGCTAGCGCTGCTGTGGCTGCTCCTCTTCCAGCTCTCTCTGGTGCTGCTGGCCCGTTGCCTGGGGCTGTGCTCCCTGATGTAGTTGCGCACCTGGTGACATCATACGGAGCGATAAAAAATATGAATAAATGAGCTTTTCACATGCTGCGTTATCTACGGGTCACCGTCTTCGAAGATCGTTCACTTCTGCGAACACCGAAGATCAAGCCAAAATGAATTTATATGTATGCTTCTGTGCATTTAATATATAATCAAACATTCAGGAACAACTCTTAAAGCTTTTCACAAAATGAAATGACTTTGCAGACAGTTAGTGAATCCCTGAAGGTGTGGCAAGAATGCAGCCAATGAAAATCTAGTTTTTCTTGCCGTTTTGTCGACGGGTTCATTAGACTTGCGTTTCAGAGTTTCTGCCCACCTGCTTGAGTTTCTCGTCCGTGAGACAGTTGAGCTCTATGATGAACTCGCTGTCGGTGGGAGAGATCTGGGCACAGGGGTCGATGATCTTGATGATGTCCAGCTGCTCTCTCAGGCCCATCTCCGTGCTGACCTTCCGGCTCAGGTATTCGATGTACTCCACCTGGGAAACACAAGACGCGTGGGTGTGATTTTTTTCTTCCGGGTATCTCCGCCTACGCTGAAGACTAAAAAGGTGAATACGGAGCGTTTAACTTTGACTGCTGGGGTAACACGGCTTTGTTCACCTGCTCGTCGTTTGTCATGGCGCTCCATGGTAACTCATCCAGGTTGCGATGAGGGTGGGGTTTGGACTTCCTCTTGGAAAACAGACAGGGCGAGCTCGGCACGCTCGGGATGATGTCAGAGAGGACTTCGCTGCCGCTGGCGATGTCACTTCCTGGCAACTGGGGGGACAGAAGTGAGACAGATTATCTCTTTCGTCCTCAAAGCACTTGAATTAAAACCAGCAGTGTTTTTTAAGAAATCACTTCTAGGTTAGATAAGCACAGCCAACAACCAACCTGCCACTCAAACTCGCTGTCGGACCAATCCCAGTAGGTGCTGATAGAGGAGGAGACGTCACTGCAAACGCTGCCCTCTGGAAACAGGTCCAGAGAGGTCAGTTCCTGGTCATCCAGAAGGGAGTAGCAGTCGTCCTGGTCCCCCACAGACACAGAGGAGAAGAGCTCCTCGCTGCACTCCGAGCTGGCAACGCTGGTCCCACAGGAAGTAAGGTTCCACCTGTGGAGAACAGTGGGTGAACGTCAAAGCGCTTCTGGAAATGGTTCAGATCGTTTTCCTGAGACAAAGTGCTGTACACAAAAGATTCTTCAAAATAAGAGATTAAAACGCTGCTCTTTCACATGATGCACGTTAACTTTTGTCTGCCACTACTTCAACTACTCCGCCATGAAGGTGGATATCTTAAATTACATTTTGGAAAAAGTTTACCTCACAGACAAGTGACACACACACTCTCTCTCTCCACTTGCCTGTTGCTGTTGAAGCGGTGCAGGGGATCTGTTCTGTGACAAGATGAGAGCTGACAGCCAAAGTCACTGACATCCAGGGTTCCCACATCGCTGAGGTTGGCTCTTTGGGAGAGGAGAGGGAACGGCTCCTCCGGGGCCAAGAACTTCTCATACAGAGACTCAGACATGGCTAGATGTTCCTGACACAGAAACTAAAAAGGTAAGACAAATGTAACGGGGCACTTTTTCAACAGGTCTCAATAATCACCACCAAATTGAAGAAACACATCTGGCACACACAAAGAAAGGCAGTATGTGTTGGTTGCAGGGAGTATTTGACAGCACTGGGTTGTACAGGTGTCCATGACTGTGTCCACATGACATTCATCCTTCATTTCATTCGGCTTGTTTGTGTACAAAAATCACTGATGCCGAGTCTCCACAACAGACACAATGCTGATGTTCCTCCAACACAGCTTTATGCATTTAGAATGACTACATCATTAACACCGTGTCCGTAACAAAGCTGAAGTATACTACTGGATTTAATGAGGATATAATGTATCTATTTCCCCAGATATGCAGAGATTCATTAATAGGAAAATAGGTACTCGTGTGCTGCAGATTAAAGTATTTTATGATAGTGTACCTTCTGTTGTGTGGGCGTGGAAGTGAAATAAACTTCACGCTGAGAAATCCAAATGTACTGCTTTTAACGTGTTATCTTTCTCCAGCTGTATGGGCCGTGCAGTGTGGGGCCTTTAATTACAGACACAACGAGCTAAAAATAAATAAATAACGAATGCACTTCAATAGTCTCTCTAATACGTAGTGTACACTAAAACAAACATGCAGTACTACAGCAATGTCGCTCTACAAAGCTGAACTTTCTTTCATTCAAATATTAGCAAGCAGCAACATGAGCTACTCGAGCTAATTTGCTGGTAACATTTGCGACGTTAGCGTACAAGGCTAGTTATTGTTGGGGGTGTAACTTAGGATGCTAAAGAGACAGCTAACGCTAGTATTCATTGTTGACAATAGGTGTCATCCACGTTAAGCATCTAACTCCCGGAGCTAATTGTTGTTTTTCTCAACAGACTCAAACTATTTACTGTCTTTAAACGTCGTGTCGTATGAAAATAAAAATAGCTACATTAGTGTAGATACACCTTAACGTTACATAAACCGTTATCGTGTTTGGTAAAGGCGAACAGCCTGTGATTTGAGCACAACACAAGCTAGCATCGTTAGCTAACGTTAGTTGCTAATCCTCTACATGTCCACGTAGCGATCACCGAGCCTCAACACGACTCTTAACTGACGCTGACGTCGATCTTTCCCCCACAAAACAAATACAAACGGCTCATGCACCTGGCAGCGTTGTGATCGAGGAGCTATCTACATCAGAACGCCAACCTTTTTGTCGTTCAAAGAATGATCATTTCTGCCACCTCCATTTGCAAATCCTTTCTTTTCTAGCGATGACCTAAATTGTCACCGCGAGACTCCCGGGAGCGAGCGCAGCGTCACGTGACGTGAAGGCGGAAGCTATCACGTAAACACAGAAACTAGCTTAAAGGAAGAGCACAAATGACCGTATTTGCGTACATTTCAAATTGTTGATATTTGTTAACGCCACATAAGGCATATTAGTGCATGGTGAGTCATGTCTGCAAGCCATACAAAGGACTCCAGCTTTTTGGGAGGCAGGATACCGGCAGAAATCGACTCATTGTCGAAAAACCTAAAGGATGTGGACCAGGAGACGTTCAGAAGAATACTGAAAGGTAAATAACGTTACTAACGTTAGCTGTTTACGAGGTCGTTAAATGTTATCGTCTCTTTAAAAGAGAACATTTTAGGTTTAAATGTCTGGAGCTAAGCTATTAGTTGCTCAATGAGTAATATATTGGGGCACCAGCAACCTCAAGTGTTATTCTGATAAGAATAGTAACGTCTGCCTGAAAACGCCTCACATTACGGTACCCGCTGGAGACTCCGTCCCCTGCTGCTTGTGTCTGCTCCGGGGAGCCTGAACGAGTGCAGCACTAGCAGTTGAAAGCCATTAAGTTAAATAAGTGAGCCAAACGTGCGTGTTGGATTACTGTTCTGTCCAGCTGTGGTGAGCGCCCTGGAGGGGAAGGACTGCAGGGAGCTGATGAAGTCCATAGCGGAGAGCAGCTTCGTGCCCCAGGAGAGGCTCAGTCACGTCGTCGCCGGGATGTACCGAGTGCTGTCTGAGGCCATCCGCGTGCCCACCTCATCACTGAAGCAGGAGGTGAGCTGCGGTTACGTGCTGGAGAGATCAGATGTTGGAGGTACATACAGGCACAACACAGCACAGGCCATACTATAACATTGATAAGGACTGCTTTGGATTGAGCTGTTTCACTTTTATGAACCAATACGCTGAAATGGAGAAAAAAAATCATTAATGTAATTAGTTTCACATGTCCCCATGCTCCATACTCATTCTTATTGAGTATGTGTGTGTGCTAACACTGGAAACCATAGGCCTGTCTCACTGGAGACATGTTACACGTTACAAAAATAAGGGGAAAAAGCACAGGTAATATAAATAATACAGTTAATGATGAATTCCACACAACAGGCCTGTGTGGGTATCTAGGGCAACACATGCTGATGTCATCACTATCATGGCATTACACATTTTAAAGATGTAAACATTTCACATCTTGTGTGACATAATAGTTAACGTTGTGTTTGTGTCCACGTTTAGGCCTTCAGAGAAGATCTTAGAGAACTGAGGTGAGCTTTATCACACCCTTAATGCTTTGATGCTCGTGCTCACACACAGCCTAGTTTCAACCCCAAATGCTGAATTTTCCGTTGTCTCTTTTGTCTATTAGGATACCTGAAGACTTTATCACAGATTTCTCCAGTGTGGTTTTTGGCAACAGGTTCGTTGAATTTACAGCCTTTAAATTTAGACTTTTAACACATTTAGTCTCTGTTTTTGTGTTATCTCGTGAAGCCCGCAGACCTCTTTTGGTCAGAGTTGTGTCTGGTTTTCATCACCACAGGACTGGGCTCAAAATATTTGAATGCTATTCACGGAGAAATCATTGCTGTGTGACTCCCTCTCTTTGTACTTGCAGGCGTGCCGCTCTAGACGCAGCGACCTCCCGGAACGACCCACACCTCTCCACGTTAGAAGACTTTAAATGGAGAGTGGATGTCGCCATTTCCACGAGGTAAAGAGAGAAGTTTCAACCTGCGGTAGGTCGTCCAGGGTGTGAGGTGTTTTTTATGTCTCTACTTAGTTCGTAATGAATACAGGACGAGGTGGGTAGTTGGACTGAGCGGTAATGGTCACCGTGGTTCAACAGACAAAGCAGACGCCTTCTAATGCAAAAGATGCGTACGTTTTTGAAACATTTCTAAAATAAATATCATTTTGTCTCCTCTGTCTCCACAGCTCCTTAGCCAGGGCCCTGCAGCCTTCTGTTCTGATGCAGATGAAACTGTCAGATGGGAGCTTTCACCGCTTTGAGGTACTCAACACAGTTGACTTGTTCCTGATGGTACAGGCAGGTGTACATTCTCTTTGAAATGACCAGTTTTCTCTCTGAATGCATGTGTCCCAGATCATAAATACAGACCCTACTCAGTCTAATCCTTGCTTTTAGACACCAGTGCTGAAGATGTATAGACCAATATGCTGAGATTCATTAAGGAAACATTGACTCTAGTGGCTGTTGAAAGAGAGAGCTCCCCCAGATACAGGGGTTGGGCAATATTTAATCATGGTTCAATGTCATTTTGTCCACATGTCTAGTGTTCCTTCTGCACCGTAGTGTGTGCTTCCAGTTTATCTCCAGCCTGTGGGTTGCAGGAAGTTGGTTGTTGGCCAGGGGGCTAATGTAGATCTACATAATCATTACATAACAGGATCACAGGGGAATAATCGAGGTAACATGTATTAACTTCAGCCCAACCTAGAACCTATTTCTGATACACTGCGACGGTGAAGTCTATTTGTTTATGCAGTAACAGGACGTTATACTTTTATACATTCACTACAAAGTGGAACAGAACAGACGCTATAGAACTGTTCTGTCTTTTGGCAAATCCGCCTTTTTCTAACAGAATAACGGCGGAACCTCTGACTGTGTCTCTCCTCTGTTCTTACAAACCTATCAGTTCAAACGACGGTAGAACACATCCAATCCGACTAAGTATTGTAGTTTCACTGTGCCAACAGTAGCACCCTTTCTGCCTTCACTACGCAGAAACAATCATTATAACATCAGAATGACGTTTAAAACTTGTGTTGTAAACATACAAATGTGCTCCTTATAAATAAATAGTTATAAAAGAAATAAAAAGAGAAACTCGACAGCAAAATGGATCAAACCTTCAACAAGTTAGTGAGATGCATTGCTCAACAGGGGGCGCCACACTCCATACATACCTGCCTGATGATTTCAGGATAGATGCAGCTTTCAAAGTAGGCTGCTAATGTGGACGCTGTACAGTTACGTGATCAGATTACACCAGAATTAGAAGATTAGCAGCAGCAGCAGCATCCGGTGTGCAGATTCTATTGATGGATGCACCTTATCTCCCCCTGATATGTGTTTCTCAGGATCTGATCCAGAGTCTGCTGCTGTGATCTCTCTTCTTGATCAGCAGATGTATCTGTTTTAGTACAGTAACAAAGGGACGATGACTCACTGTCTGCTTGAGTCTTTGATACAGGAATGAGAGTAGATATACTATATATATATCAGATCACATGTATCCGTGTTGGTTTAGAATACATTGTTTTGGGAGTGGCCCACTTTCACCCTGTAGGGAGGTCAGAGGTCAAACTCAGGCAAGGCAAGTTCAATGTGAAGTTCAAGACCTGTTCGACTATTATTTTCACATATTTTTGCTAGATATTTACCATATTTACGGTAGGCTACTTTGAAAACATCTCACAAATGGTGAAAAATCATACAGATATATTTATTTCCAAATATACATAATGGAATAATATAAAATGAATTATATTAAAAACAGTGAATGTTCATAAGTTGTTTGTTTTAGTTCCGAAAAAATGTAAATTTATTGTCACTACCTTTTTTTTTTTTTTCCTTGTACTGAATTTGACACAATACACATGAACATTAACTAAACAACAAATCACAGCAGTGCATCATTTCCAGACAGTTTCAAATCATTCAAAATTCAAAGTTATGAGTTTCCACAAGCGAGCAAAGCTCTTGTCTTTCCTTCTTACAATACAAGTTGGTCTCTCCAAAGCCACTTCCTTCATCCACATTCCATTAGAAAGTACATCCATGTTCTTCCACAATTGCGCAATTATCCTGCTGGCTTGTAATAGTCCAACGTCAATGAGCCGTGACATTCGGCAGTTACAAAAAAAGTCTTGAGAGTATTTTCCACAGAACACCAATTTTTGGCTGATAAAGAGATTTCCTTTCCAACTATAAGGCTTATTCATTCCAGCACACTCTTCCTTCATCATTAAAGGACAATCAACCGTTTGGTACAGCATGTTTTTAGAAAATGATTCGACCCTTATTAGACATTTTTGTTGTTTTATCGTAAGACCTCTGAAACTATAATATGTTGAAATATGCTTACCATTTAATAACAATTAGACCAAACAGAGTCCTCATCATGCCAGGTGGGCGTTTTCGTTGCCAACTTCCTGTAAGGCAGAGAACTGAACAGGCCTACTATTTAAAGACGGCGATATCCAGTGGGTTTTTTCAGCCTACCATACCTAGACCAAGTAGAAGAGATGGCTCAATCAGGTCGAGTTAACTTCAACACATATTTCAATAAGATGTAGGGATTTTAAAACAGTTGCTCTACCAAGCAGTCGGGCAGAACATTGATGGGTTTTAAGAGATCAAAGAAGACGGGTGTGGAGAAGAAATGGTCATCGGTAACATTGTGCTGTAACTAATATGTATTAACTGGACACCTCTTCTATGTGTCCTTGTCAGTGAACTGTTGTTTTCTCGTCCAGGTGCCTGTGTCTAAATTCCAGGAGCTCCGGTATAATGTGGCTCTGATTCTCAAAGAGATGAACGATCTGGAGAAGAGGAACATCCTCAAAATCCAAGACTGATTTACCACGCTGGCCTGTTATTTAATCGGCCTCTCATGGTGCTGGCATCCATCTTAACTGCTGACAAAGTACAAAATGGTAAGAATAGTTATCTAGCTGGCTGCACCACGGGAGTACCTAACAATGACCAAACTGAAGAGAAAAAGATGAGGACTCATAGCCTTTATTTAAACAGAAATCTATAAGTTCACTCTTTCCCTTGCCTTGTTGTAAACTGTGCATATTAGATTATTTGATTCAGTGGTTGATTTGGGAGATTTGAGACGGCTGCATTGTGCCAAAATATGAACGCAGTCAAGTGAGCGCTCAGACACTCTCTTACAAAGCCACTTTCACTGGTGTCACGTGATCCGGTCTGAACATTTTGTCCACATGCTTCTGAAACACGAGGATTCACAAATCGATGAATAAACCTTTTTTCTACTCGTGTTTTTTTTCACAAGTGTTTCAAACCACTGAAAGAACATCAATGTGTGCTTGTCTTTTGGGTTGTAGCACTGTTGTATGAAAAGAAAAATGGTGGATTCTTATGGTTATTTTGTATGTTTGTCATAATAACATTAATACTTTTTACCTCTTAAAACCACATTTTTCTAATAAAATCTCTCCATTACTGTACAAGCAAAGACTGATGTGTTCAGATTTCCTTCAACACTTTTCACCTACACAACGCCATCACGAGCACGGTGGCAATCAGTCGACACACAAATACCTGAAGGAGTAGCCTCAACGGAAGCGATAAATAGCTGAAAATTCATATGACAATGCTGTTATAAAAGCTCTTATTCAACACTCTTCAATCACACAGTGAGTCAAGGCTTATGCACCTTATTGTGTAAGCAAATGAAGTGAACCAGAAAGGGAGTGTCTCTAAAGCACCTGAGCGTTCATTTAGCACTGCCTTATAGAAAATATTCTCAACACGAAGCTCTCCAAAGTGACTCATTTCAAATTCACTTGAATCCCCATTACTCTCCTCTGAACATGTCTTTTGTCAGCTTCTGGGATTGTCTTAAAACATAGTTTTAAACAGTTTGAGTCTCTACGTGATGTCTGTCGGTCCACCACTTTGGTCCAGACTTAAATATCTCAACAGCTATACGAGGGATTCATGGTCCCCAGAGGATGAGTCCTGATGAATTTGGTCACCTCCTGACTTTTCATCTAGCGTCACACTGAGGTTGACATTTTTGGTTTCAGGTGAAATATCTAAAAATATTGGAAGGTTGGTGATAAAAGTTGATACACTTATTCATGTTCTCCTCAGGATGATGAATTGTAATAACGTTGTTGATCACTTGACTTTTCCCATTTTAGTCCGTCCAATAGTTAAGTTGATGATCAAATAACTGCAAAACTAATGACATTCCCGTCAGCTTCAACTGTGCTTTGTGTTTATCACCAATTATCAAATATTAGCATACAGGTATCCTGAAATAAAACACCGCAGAAGTCCACCTAATGAGACCACACGCCAAGAATGATGGGACTTCAGTTTCCCCAGTTGAGCCTCCCAGTAGCTCCCTGAAGTCTGTGTCGGCAGAGTCTTAGAGGTAAGTACTGTAATATATTCATATTTAATATAAAAAGTAGTATAAAATCCATTATTATTCACAAAGCACGAAATAGGCTTTTGAAACAGGAAGTACAGAAAGAAAATGTAAGGCTCAATAACTATATAGTATTTCAAATCTGTAAATTAAACATTTCAAAGAAAACACAAGAATTGTCTTTGTGTAGGATTTGGATGTGAAAGTTACACTTCGATCTTTAGTGAGACCATCATTCATCACTGTTCCAGTCTCCATCCTTCCGTTACGACCATACAGATAAAAAAATCTATATCTTACACGACAGATCTGTTCTTTAGTTTAATAATAAGGGACAACCCTGTTCCCGTCTTGCCCGACCGAACAGACACCAACATAAACTTGAGCACGACCAGTAGCTCAAGTTCAAATCTGATTTAAGACCCTTGTCACATGCAAAGTCGGTTCTTTCGTGCCTCTCACTCCTGTGTGTTTACGCGTTACTTCCATAAGGAACAAAACATGATATACTATCTCTGGTGTTTGAGACAAGCGCAAGTGTATGCTTGTTATCCATTACATCTGTCTTTCTTGTATAATAGTGTGTGAAGAGAACTGCTGGTCTCTCTCAGCCCAGTACACACTGTCCAGACAGCCTGTGCTATGAATACCTGGCTAGACTGCATTGTTGGCCTATTTAGATACACACATAAGGACATTTCAAGATGTGGAGGGACACAAGGATCTGTGATTATTGTGTGTGTGTGTGTGTGTGTGTGTGTGTGTGTGTGTGTGTGTGTGTGTGTGTATGTTTGCCTAACACTCTTGATTGTCCTCATTTGCATTTATGTCAGTCTGTCTGTTTTTGCATGTGTGTCAGTCTGTCTGCTGCTGTGTGCATGTCAGTCAGCGGTTGTGTCTGTGCGTGGGATTGAGTTCACGGGCCAGACCGGCCGACCTATATTTCCAGCACCGCTACTACTGACATGGACACTGATGGACTGAGCAGCCTCTAATCTCCACTCACACACACACACACACACACACACACACACACACTTCTGGTCTTACAGTGAGTCTATGTCACTGGCTGAACACCAGCCACTGTGGACAACATTCACTGTTACAGGATGATGGGAGATGCAAACAATATACAGTACCACATGTAATGTCAGTTACACAGCAATATCTGTTCAAATGTTATGGCTGCATGCTCAAGGACCTTTCGTGGTTGCGGTGAGTGACACTTTCTCAAAACACCTTTAATTTCCTGTTTTATACCGCCATTGACTGCCTGCGGACTCCTCACTCACTACTCTTAACCGGCACCTGGCCCAGCCGCTATGGCCCACAGTGGAGGGGATACAAGTTTGCAGTGTGTTTGGACAGCTAACTACCATTTACACACACTGCTGTACATCGCCGCACCTCAGCTGCTGCTACGCGGACAGACAGCTGGATGAGTTTAATTTTGATTAAGGCAAGGTTGTATGACGTGTCTTACACAGCGACTTCGAGCCGATTGCGTGCTTACATCACCGCTTGTTTTTGAGTTTGAATGAAGTATGATTCAGGACACTTTACAGAACATTACAGTCTAGACGAGGGGGTTAGTCATTTGGGTTCTATTCAATCACACAATACAGCAGCGGAGGTTGCAGACACACCTGGAGGAAGAGATCTGCACTATAAGTGCACCATTAGTTGCTTATGAATGAAACTTGCAAGATGAAGAATATATCATTTATCCTTTAATAGTCACATAGTCTTGCTTCAACTGTTGACTTAAATAATGCTGCAAGTGCCATGCCACATCTTTGCTCTGACCAGGAACCAGTTTTTAACTTGTTATATGCTTACAGTATAACATTACATCGCAGCCTGTGACGGTTTTTCAAATTCTAATTCCTGGGATTTTGTTTATTAGTAGCAGTGGAACTAACAAACATTACTTCAGCAACATTCTCAATGTGTTAAGTAAGATGTCACTTTTTGTCATTATTATGAAACGTTTATGCAACGATGACCAGAGCGTGTGCTGGTGAGAGACTGCTGCCTGTCACAGTGATCCAACACAGTGTGATTATTTAATATCTGGCTTAAGGATTCGTTGCTTTACGTTGTCTGTCGATCAGGACATTGATCTGAGGGGCGGCGACAAGGGATGACATGCTCTTCTGTTAGTATGTGTAATGAAACGATCCCTCTTCAGATGTACAGTTTGTGTAAGAGCTGATCACATTCACATCTCTCCATTATACTCAAACTGCTCCCTGTGTGCCATAACATTTAGAATAGCTTTTCTCAAGATATGTAAATGGTAATTATACTTGATCCATAAAATAATTTTAAAAAAAAGTTGTTTATGTAAAGCGGTTTTGACTGTCACATAACTGCTTGTTATGTAATGGGTGAAGCTGTCACATAACAGGTAACAACAGGAACTTGAAGCAGGTCACATGTTTGACATTTTTCCTGTATAATTAAATAAACATTACGCAGAGATGGAATACCTCTGAAAGCCAACTCCCATGGGTTGATTATTGTGCAACAGATCAGTTTTATAACTAAACCAACTACTTTTATTTCTGACAATCAAAAGGACTGATACATCAGTATGTCCACTTAATGACACCACACCACATCCCAAGACACCATGTTTGGGAAGATCTCTGAGGAAACTCGCAAAAAAAAAAAAAAAAATCATATTTAAACCCGAATTAGTTGGAATAACTTCCAGAGATGTGGTACCAATAGAGCTCATTATTTGGTGGCCCCATGCTAAACTCCTACATGCAGGTGAGACCGGCTCCGGCCCACGACGCTGACTGTGTTACCTGGCAGATTGTTTTGTAACCCTTTTCCTAAACTCGTCCAATGAGAACAGCTGGCCGGCATCACATGACACAACTTTTACGTAACGGTTTTTTTTTCCTCCTGCGCCCGCTCCATTGAGAATAATATGGGTGCTTCCTGGACTTGGTCATGACAGCGTCAGTAGACTTCCCAGCAACACACGCAAACATGATGTACTGCAGCGCGTGTTTTGACGAGACACGCTCCACATAGGTGAGAGGACAGACTTCTAACAACTTGCCGGGTATGGGGACAGAGAGCGAGAGTATGCTGCAGCTCGCAGCGGAGGCTTTCCACTCGAAAAACTTCGACCTGGCCGCGGACATCTACGAGTGCCAACTAGCGGGTCTCGGAGACCCAGGGAGCCGGCGCCTGGAGCTGATGGTCAAGCGGGCTGATGCGCTCGCCTTCGGGGGCAAATTCACAGAAGCGTTCGACATGTACCGACAAGCCTCGGAGACCGAGAGACTGACCCCCGTTCACCTGACCAACCTCATAGAGTACCTGTCGGGTAGTATCGGGAGGCAAGACGGGGGTAACGGTCGAAACGGGACCCCGAGGAAAGGAGGAGCGGCGGTGGCCGCTGTGTGTCCGGGAGTTGGTGCCACGGGCTTCGGGTACGAAGACTTCTCCTGTCGGATATGTCTGAGCTTTCTGTTCGAGCCCGTGACTCTGCCGTGCGGACACTGCTTCTGTAAAAAGTGTCTGGAGAGGGAGAGGAAGGACAAGGAGCGGCCGGTGATGTGTAAAGAGTGCCTGGACAGCTCCAGAGTGGCCGACGTCCAGAGTTACAGGGTCAATGTGGTCCTCGGCAACCTGCTGGCCAAGTGGTTCCCGACCTTGCACCAGGCCGGCCGGCTGAGGCGGGAGGGCAACGGGCTGTACGCCGAGAAGAAGATGGAAGCAGCGCTGGAGAGATATAACCGAGCCATATTGATAGGTAGGACACTGAACTACTCACTCTTATATATGTATGAGAAACTTAACACAGTGGCTTTACAGAACGGGGTTCTGCTGCCTATGTGACCGGGCTAACTCGTTTTTTTTTTGCTCCTTTTAACTTGATATTTCGCTCTATTGTTTGGCTACTTTTCCAGCACAACGAGGCTGCTGCTAGATAATATCATGTGGGCGACTTGTCGATAAAAGGAACAATACGACGCTGTTATGTGACTTTGTTTCGTAAGTGTGTCGTCCGTGACACACTTGGAGGCGGGCTAGCTGCCTCTGCTGACATCCGAGAGCCACAGCGCCATGTGTTGGATAACACGGTTATGTAGGCTGGGCTCGCGGACCAAACATTGCGTAAGTGCGTAGCACACCCCCCCCCCCTCTCATTGTATAACGACAAAACAATGATTCAGGCTAATGTGGGTCAAGGGTACTATTTCATGTCACCACCAGGGACTCTGATGCTCGGAGCCACAGCAGAGGTTTTTATATGGGCAGAGGTGGTGGTGAAACAGGTGAGCTGTGGCCTGCAGAGAGGGATTAGTAGTAGTTATATACACAGAGGTGTTGCATATCAGGTTACATGGTGTGGTTTGAAGTTTACTTCTTAAGAGGTCTATGTCACATTACACACGCATTGTGTACTTATTTATTATATTGATGTAATATAGTAGTCATTCCCAAATTCTGAGAGCTCGTTAACTCCAGCTAATTGCATTTATTTGCTCTCACTTATAAAGTATTAGTATATGTTGTGTCAATAACACGTGCATAGAGCAAAGTTGTGATTGTCGAACGCATATAGCTCTAACAAATGACTGGTTTAGCTATTCAAGATAAGATACTTTGTCGACTACTAAGACGGATTCTCCTCTGGCTCAGAAGTCTGCTTGACCCGATCTCAGTTGACCTTACTGTGTGGTGCTGCTGCAGCAGCTGAGTCACTGTACACGCTGGTTGCGTAAGTTTCAAGTGACTCGTTTCTCAGTTTGAATGCTCTAGAGAAGCACCACCGCTAGATGATGGAAGCACCAGTTTGAATTACGCCATCAGCTCTGTCCGCTGGGTCCACCGGGCCAGTGGAGCATGAACCCTCCCAGCTGATGCGGTGCAGCTGCTCAGACACCAAAGACTGAATGTTGTTGAGCTGTGTAGCTCCCACAGTGATGGAGTGGGACTGTCCTGGGCTGTTTACAGGATGTCAAAGTAATTCAGCATGTTTAGGAAAGGTGATTGGTTAAATAACAATGAACAAAGAATGTAATATCTGTCTTATTGTGGGAGGACCAGCTTCAAGCCGCAGTGACTTTGTTCTGCAGGAGAACGGTTTCCCCATCTCTCATTTTTCGTTATTAAGTAAAGGCACGTAATTCCTAATGGAACACTTGCTTAACTAAGGAATTTATGCAAATGAGGTTGTCAGCTGAATCTCAGCAGGAAAAAGAAAGGCGGTAGTAGCACTTGTTGTACTTGCAGAATCTGTTTGTACGTTACTCTATTTATCAATATATCTTCTGCCCCTAAACAAGGTCCCCTGCATCGTGTTAGTACTGGGCTGCTTGTGTGTATGTGCAATGCATTCATCACGTATTGTAGGGTTCACATGTAGTTTTATAGAGTTGGATCTGGATTAAGTTCAGGTCGAGCTAATTGTTCTCCTGTCATGCTTTAACAACTATTGTGTGTTAAACTGCATTTTCATCTATTCCGGCACCTCAAATCTATGAAATTGTCCTGTAGATTGAAATAATCTCCTTTGTGTTTATGTGAGCTGAAATATTCCCCCCTGGTTCCCATCGAGCTAACCGCTACATTAGCATATATTATTGTAGTTATGAAACCTGGAATGTGGGTGACCTTGATAGTGCAGCACTATTTTTTAAGGCGGCACATTTTTTTTTTTTTTTTTTTGCGTAACGCGTTTTGTAATGTGGAGGAAAGTGTTCCATTTAAGCATTTCTTCTTTTGTGTAACTTGAAACCATTATATAACCAGCATAGTCAGCTTTTAAGAAATAAGAAAATAAATATTTGGTGGCTGTGCTTTTTTTTTCTTTTTTTTTCATTCTGCAGTATGTTGTGAATGAGTTTCCTCAGTATGATAAGCAAAGAGTCACTGCTTCCAGCTGCTCATACGTGACACTCTGCTGACTTTTCTCTGCCTTACATCACTGTGAATTGAATATCTTTGGCTTTTAGACCGTTGATCAGATAAAAACAAGCAAGTTGAACACATCACCGTGGGCTCTTGGACACTCGTAACACCAACAATCCATCTATCAACCTGACTAACTGACTGTCCCTCCTCTCCCCCCTCAGCACCCATGGACCACATACTGTTTAGTAACCGCTCCCAGATCCACTCCAGCCTGAGACGCTATGAAAGGGCCCTGAGAGACGCTGAGATGGCCTGCAGACTCATGCCTCACTGGTCCAAGGTATGGCAGACAAACGGCTCCCAAATACATATAAATCTGTAATAATCAGTTGTTATTAAAATGTATGGATGCGAGATAAATGATGCATCTTCCTCCTTCCTGCAGGGTCATGTTCGTAAGGCCCAGGCCCTGGTGTCACTGGGCAGGACCGAGGAGGCTCTGAGGGAGTACCTGGTCTGTCTGTCCATAGAGCCGGACTGTAGACCGGCCAAGAACGAGGCTCACAGGGTAAGTCAACATTAGTGTTGTAGTGGACACCCACAGATGAATATCTTTTATTCCACAACTTAAATAATATGTTTTTTTTGTCACAGAGGAGCAAAGAAAACAGAAAATAATCACTATTATCAATTTTTAATTTAATTTAGCCTTTTCCCCCTAAAAAATAACTCCTATCGATTATCAAAGTAGCTGATTGATTTAATAGTTGAGAAGAAATCGATTAGTCGTTTTCAGCCCCTATAATTGTGATATTTAAAATGCATGCAGAATAATCTCATCCTCGTGTGTCATCTTCTCTCAGCTCCTCTGTGATCTCCTGGCTCCGGTCACCGATCAGGTCCCTGAACACATCTCGGACTACTCCAACGCGCACATGTCTTTCAGAGCGCACGTCAAGAACAGCATTGGCATTAACACCCCGCACCAGGTAAGAGACGATGCGCCTCCCGCAGTCAGCACTTTATGAAGAAAAGCGCAACGTCGAGCGGACATGAGGTTTCATTATCCTTCTCCCTCCCTCAGATCTTTAGTCCCAGCCTGTTGTCATCAGCGTCCAGTCTTGCCCTCGACCCTCCTGTACCCGAGAGACCAGAGGGCGGTGAGGTCAAAGGTCAGGGGAAGCCGGACCACTGCTTCCTCCTCAAAAGGAAACGCAGGATCGCAGAGGAGGAGGAGGAGGAGGAGGAGGAGGAGGAGGAGGAGGAGGAGGAGGAGTACGGAGGACAGGAGAGGAGAGACGATCACAAGAGAGCCAAGTCCGGTGAGCTTTTGGAATTTGCGCGCAAACACACGCATGTAGCCGAGCAACACGCTCTACTCTCTCTCTCCACTAGCGGCGTATGTGTCTTATTTAGTATCTGTTGATCTCTCCATTCAGAGCCAGCAGAGGGGACGGATCAACCGAGCTCTGCGGCCGGTGACGTCTTGGACCCGACAGATCTGGATTGTTCCCTGTGTATGAGGTGAGGATTGCTTCACAGCGTCGGATCTAAATATTTACTGACAGTCAACGCACCACCATTCAGGGGTTGCGTAACGTGTGCTGAATCGTCTCGGATGATGTAATCATGTGATATGCAGCAGCTTTTATGCAGAAATACAGCCCGAAAGACAGCAACAGAATGGGTCTTTGTCTTGGCTAGCATTAAAAAAACAAAAAAAAAAAACAGAAACAAAAAAAAAACGTAGTCATCAGTTTCAGCCGCACACTCTTAGGCGTCCACAGTTTTGAGGTGTCGTGTTTTTCTGTGTCCAGACTTTTCTACGAGCCAGTGACGACGCCGTGCGGTCACACCTTCTGTCTGCGGTGTCTGGAGAGATGTCTGGACCACAACCCCAAGTGTCCGCTCTGCAAAGAGGAGCTGTCTGAGGTACGACACGGTGCCGTTAAGCGTGATCTGAACTGAATCCAGTAGGGAACCAACCCTTTCTCTTCTGGTACCACAAGTCAGAGTGTCTATTCCCCCCCCCCAAATTTAAAACCTAGCTCAGTGTGGAACTCATTGGGGTCATCTTTCTGTAAGGTAACGGGACACCAGGGATGGCTATGGAACTAAAAGCAGAGTTGGTGACTTGCCATGACCAAATACAAACTGTGTTTTAATTTGGATCGGTCATATCATGGCCAATACCCGATGACTCAATAAGGTCACTATCGGGGCAGCCAATCCAGATCAGGCACATCTAATTGGTGTATCCCTACAGTTCCGAATCATAAACAGAATAAGAGGATACTATGGGGGTAAAACGTAAAGCAGGCTTCTACATTGAAACTCTCTCTATGTTTCTGCCACTATAAACGTATCTTTAATACAGTCTGTATCTCTCCCCAGTACCTGGTCCAGAGGCAGTACTCTAAGACGGTACTAACGGAGAACCTGATAGCGAAGTATCTTCCCTCGGAGCTCATAGAGAGACAGAAGATCCACCAGGACGAGATGGCCGATCTCTCGAAGTAAGTTTGTGTTCTTTATGCTGAGCTTGCTCTTCTCCGCTCACCGACACAACCTGTGCTGTTGTTTGACCCACTCACCTACTGTAGACAATACACGTCTGACACACTGACCTCTCAGCGTGCAACACCTCAGGCGTCAAGTATCACTTTCCTGAAGGCCGAAACAATCTCCAACACATAACTGGAGCAAAACTCATCTCCTCTCACAGTAGACAGTGGTGGTTTTGTTTTTGTTTTTTCGGGGCATTTGGCCTAATAGCTAGTTGTGAGTTATGGTGCAGATGTTTTTGGAATTGTAGACCATTCTAAACATTTTAAAGGACTTTGTTACAGAAAATCATTATTCCTTTTTCCACATTAAACTCATGCCCCTATATCGTTTTCTCTCCTCAGTCTTAACAAGAATGTGCCTATATTCGTGTGCACCATGGCCTTCCCCACTGTCCCGTGCCCTCTCCATATCTTCGAGCCGTGCTACAGACTGATGATTCGCCGATGCATGGAGACGGGAACCAACCGCTTTGGCATGTGTCTGGCAGACAACTGCAAAGGGTCAGTGCTGGGACAGCGCATTTAAGTGTGTCGGGGGGGGTTACATGTGTTTTAACACAGCGGTGTCAGAGTATGGATCCAGGAAAGTGTAATAACGCGCCCTCTCCCTCCTCCCGTCTCTAGGGTCGCAGACTACGGGTGCCTGCTGGAGATCCGCGATGTGAAGTTCTTCTCCGACGGCCGCTCGGTGGTGAACACCACCGGCATACGGAGGTTTAAAGTCATTCAGCACAGCGAGAGGGACGGATACAACACAGCCGACATTGAGTACCTGGAGGACGTTAAGGTATGAGGGGGGAGGAGGGAGAGAGGAGGGAAGACTGGACAGATGAGGAGTGATTGGATGGAGAAGTGATGGATTGATAGTGAATTACCTTCAGATGTTATAACTCAAAGGACTGTGTGTGTGTTTGTGTGTTTATAGGTGGAGGGTCTGGCTGAGCGTGAGCTGCATACTCTGCACGACGCGGTGTACGACCAGGCCCTGGTGTGGGTCAACTCCTTGAAGGCCGAGCAGAAGGAACGCATTGAAGGACACTTTGGACCCATGCCTCAGAAAGACTCTGAACTTCAGGTACACGCACACAGTTTACAAAGTCACGCTTTTAAAAAATCAAATTACTCCTCCTCCTTTCAAATGTGTCGTATGTGTCTTTGAAAATAGAATATGAATCCTGAGGCAGCATCCGCTGAAAACGTGTTTTACGAGGCAATAGGATTATGATGATGATGATAACAACTTTATTTATATGGCACCGTTGAAAACAGATTTTACAAAGTGTTTTGATAGACAAAAAAAAGACAATATAGCATGAAAGAGATTGAGCCCCTAAATGCAGACACTGAGGCAGACCAGGTTGAATAAAAGGTACTTTACTAAACAAATGAATATGATTACACTCAGAAAATCAGCTTGACCCATAACTACAATTATCATGATAAGACCCGAGTAGAATTTTGTCTATTTCTACATTCTCGTGTCTTTAAACCCCTCTCCCTTTGTGCCTTCCTCCTTCAGGACAGTCCTAACGGCCCCTCGTGGTGTTGGTGGTTACTCGCCGTTCTTCCGCTGGAGGCCCGAGCCCAGCTTCCGTTCCTGGCCCTCACCTCTCTGAAACGTCGCCTCAACGGCATCCGCAAGGTGCTGCTCTTCATGGCCCACAGCAGGCACCGGTGACAATAACTCTCCACACCTGGAAAATGCAGTAACCCCCCCCCCCCCCCCCCCAGCGTGGACACGCTCTCACACACACACACACACACACACACACACACACACACACACACACACACCCTCCTCCAAAGCAGAGGACCTGCTGTTCGTCCTTTTTGATGCACGAAGGAACTGACGTCGATCCCGTTGCACCTTCCCCGTTGTAGCCACATCCCGTTCAGAAAGCAGTGCTGGACTCACCTACGGGTCAACTGCAAACTTTAACAAAAACAAGATGAAGAAGAAAAACAGCAACAGGGATGGTTGATGTGAATGCATTGATATCTTCCATTCATAGCATTCTCTAGAAAACCAACCGTGCAGACTTCCGCTATGTTCAGACAGGAAGGAAATGTGATTTTATACAAAGCGTAAACAGCCTCATCTTCCGTCATAAAAGGATATGTTTTTGTCTTGACGTTTCCATGTGTTCAACAACAAACTGCTGATGTGACTCCACTTATCCAGGTTCCACTGCTGCCTTCATGGCCTTCCTCCATTTTTGTAGTTTATGCTCTTCCTGTGGAACTCAAAGCGTCTGCAGTCTGACGTGAGGGACTGAGCCGCCTGTCTGAACGTAGCTTTAGCTAACTCAACCCATCAATGTCCCCTCTCCCTGTGTCTTTACATGTACATATAAGCTCTGCAAGAGACCAAACCATGGATTTGTCTCACTAATGATGAAGATACTGATTAATTGGTGTGCCCATTACTAAGTGTAGACATCTACAGAAGACGTGTTTACTATTCTGCCCACCCTTTAATTTAACTTTAACTTCATTTCTATTGGCTGCTATTCAGTCTTCCTTCCCTCCTTGCTTCCTTTCCTTCTGTCCCTGTAACATAATGACTGAACCTTTACATTAGCGTGCTTTAAGGTGTTCCATTCAGACATTTTTTGTCCGATTTTTAAATTCGTTTTTTATTATTTATTTTGGCATTATTTATGCATGCAGTGACATTGTTTACATTTCACAGAAAGAGATGTTGAGCCGCTTCCTTTCCAAAGGCTTTTTTTTTTTACTTAACATTTGACCCCAAACATCAGCAGTGATACCCTGGTAACTGCAGGGTGTTACTGCTGTACAATAACCACTATTTACATGCTGTCCAAGACAAACTCTGGAAACTGGAGCTGAGGGCAGAGGGTAGTATTTTTATTGGCCGCTCGCAATCCCAGTTATTTTGACTGAAAACATATTTGGGTTCCCTCGCCGTCAGCAGCCTCTCTATGGCTGAGGTGCTTCCCGGCTATAAGAGAAGCAACATCTGGATTTCTGATACCATTATGTCCTACGTGTATTTATTCACTATTTATTCTGACTTTATTTTGCACATTCACTTGAAGTAAGGGAAAGAACCGGTGCAGACAGGCCTCAGGGTGCATACTTCCACTCGAGTCAAAATACACACATATTCCGACTACCACAGAACAAAGTTACATCTTCTGCTGGTTTAACCGGTAAACGGTCCCCAAGTGATGTATGCGATGGGTAAAGGCCAGTGCCTTCTGTAACACGGTGTGGGACAGTCTTACATAGCAGGCTCATTTTCAGGTTCACTTCCCCCCCCTTATGGAAATGTTTCCATTCAAAACGGGATTTTTACAGAAAAGCAATGCTTGTAAAACAAGATTAAAACCCATTTTGACAATTTCCCACAAACGTATTTCTGAGAAAACGATGTTGTTTGAAGACATATTGAGGCCTTGCTGGTGTCTGTGACATGACTGTACATGGCACGGGCAACTCTGGAAAATGCAAGAGATTCAAACTCTTTTATTTTATACATGCGTGTTTGATTTTTACATATTTCTATGTCAATCGAGTTCTTTGTATTTTATCATTTTCTTCACTTATTAGTACAAGGAGCATCACGTCAAGTCATTTATTATTTTGTATTATAAGGGCCAAAGCCGTCTAATGCTATAAAACGGAGAAACTGCTTTAGATATAATCCCACAATCTTAATATTGTCCCTACAGAAAGTTGTTGATATTGTACTGTCAGATGGTGGCGCTATGAAACAATCCACATGAATATTGTATTATATCTATAGTATAATGACCCTTGTGTCAAATTCAATTTGAAGGTGCTTCTCTAAAGAATAACTACCACTTCCATCATCTCTCCACCATGTCTGAAACCATTGCCCTGATGTTTGCTAATATGACGCTCAGACTGGGCAGGAAAGGGAAAAGCCATTAGCCAGATATAATCACCCCTCCAGTGTAAAAGCATATCGCATTCAGAGACAAATCCAGATAGATGTGAAGAGATAGATTAAAGGGAAAATCCACCTAACATGACATGACATTGAAATGACGTTTTTTTTTACAGTTTACAAGTAAAAAAAATACATCGTCACATGAGGAGTCAGTGTTTTTCTTTTCTTTTGTTTCCCCATCTCATAAGTTATGTTTCAGTTTAAAACTGATATCTGTGAATTATTGTGCATCTGTGACAGCAGTTCTAGTGCCTTAAATTCTTCCATTTAGGCTTTGATGTATAAACTGCAAGGGCGACTACTGGGTGCTGATGTCTTGTGCGACAACCTGCGGTTCCCTAAATAACATTGGCACAGGGCACCGTTTATAAGCTACGACCCAGCTGGGACGTGAACACAGACGCATTTGTCAAGTTCTGAATCCTGAAATTTCAGGGTGGGTTTAAGCTGCTGTTGCTGCTTGATGGTCTTGATGGTTCTGGTAAAATATTCATGCTTTGTGAACTCTAAAAATCTCAAGGTCTTAAACAAAAGCTCTCCTCATATTTTCAGATATTTGTGTCACTACATTGCCCGCTTCTTTCAATGGTGGTTAACCTCCCGTAGAGCCCCACGGCCCGCTAAATATGTCCGGGTGAATTCGCACAAGATGAATGTATGTATGTCTCGGCATCGCTCTGATGTTCTCTGTACAGGTCTGTTTTTTTTAATAGTAAAACTTTAGAATGCATTACTTTTGCGGAAGTACAGTTCTGAAGCTACAACTTGTGAATAAACCAAAAGGTTTGTGTTCTTGGTCCTGCATGGGATCGTGAACACGCTGGACTGGATTTGAGTCTCACGTCTCTTTTGTTTGTGCTCTTGAGTTTCCTAGAAAGTAACAGATCAGATTACTGGTTAATAATTCAGAAGATGAATCAAAACCTTTAGTGTAACTGAATTCTGCTCAACAGTCCGTAAGGTGAGTGATGTGGGAGGCAGTCAGCGTTTTGTTGCTTTCATGCGAGCAAAATTTATTTTCAGAAACAATAGCACTTCTTTAAAAATCAAGTGTAGATTTGGAGGGCTTTACAAAGCCAGACAAAAACATAAAGAATTACTTTGTACTTATTTATTACACTTAAGACAAAAAGACTGTAACACTCTCATTTGGGACAATAACTATGAAGCTGCAGCCAACAGACTATTAGCTTAGCTTTGCATAAAGACTGGAAACCGCTAGCCTAGCTCTGGTCGAAGATAACAAAATCCACCTACCAGCACCCTTAAATTCACTTAACACTTAAAAATAAACACTTTATATCCTCTTTGTTTAATCTGTACTAAAACTGGCCATCATGCTAAGCTAAGCTAACCATACTTCTATTTTTCGTTCTTCTCAACAAACTCTTCCCAAGAATGCAAAGAAGCGTAAATTCCAAAATGTAGAACTATTTATTATCTCCGTGAGGAGAATCAGGTGATTGGTCGCGTGCTTGCTTCCGTGAGTGAGTGTGCACCTCTGTGTCTGTCCACGCATTCTGCAGCAGGAAGCTGCATTATATTTTAGGTGGCCAGTAACCTAATATTGCCTTTTTTATGTTGCTGACTGTGGGATTAAAGAGGTTAGAAAATGAATGGAGAAGAGCAGTACTGAAGTTGGGTAGTGTATCAAGTTGAGCGAGGTTAGAGTATTAGAATGCAACATCAGCTCATATGTACACATGCTGGCAATGTGACCAGAGCTGTTGCACTCCACAGCCTAAGTAAGCCCTGTTATATACCAGTTAGGTAACAGCTCACATGACATGTTTCAGAGTTACTCTTTAGCTACATTTAGTGTTAGATGAGGTCAGAAGAAGGTGGGTCGAGTAGAACACTGTAGGTTAGGAGGTTATTGCCAAAGCAGTAAATCTGCGGTGCGTGGTGGGTTAAAGAGTGAGAAGCCAAGAAACGACTGCGGAAGAAAACAAAACGTACTCTCAGAGAGAGAGAGAGAGAGAAGACACGTTTGTGTGAGAGAGCATGTGTGAAAGGATTCTTACATGTGGAGAGAGAGAGAGAGAGAGAGAGAGAGAGAGAGAGAGAGAGAGAGAGCTGGACAGACAGGAGAACTGTTTATGCAAGCAATGCAAATAGGTCACTCAGTCGGAGTTAGAGACTTACAAGGAGGCAGAAGAAGTATTAGTGAAAGAGAGATGCAGGGAAAGAGCAGTGTCTCTTTCCCTTCCTGGCTCACTCTTTGTTTGTTGCTCTTCAGTGTATTACACTGCGGATTAGCAAGTTTAGCTCGCTGCAGTCTCCATGAGGACTCTTAAGGATTTGAAGGCCTACTTGTGCCAAACCCGGGTGCCTCTAAATATAGAGGCATAGAAGCTTTGATGAGACCATACAGTACATTTCTACCATAAGAACCTCTACTCAATGTCCAGCATGTATCCTTTAATGCAAGTGCTCAATATGGACTAGACTCATTCAACCACACACTGATATGAATTATCTATTGCAATGATTAGATTTGTATTTTTGAGTGAAATGTCTTGACGATTATTGGATGGATTAGGTCAGACATTTCTTAAAATTAATTCTAACAACTTCATTGATGCCCTAACTTTTCCTCTACGGGTCAAAATGTCAATTTTTGGTTTATGAAAATGACGGGAAAGAATAAGGCTGAATCTGGTGAGGAGGACCTGTTATCTGTCTCAAGCTGTAAATATGATGAACGTCCTCATCGATCGCACAGCTCAGCTGCAGGC